CACGACTATGATCCTCATTCCTCTGAATTTGCCTATTCTGGGACATTTACTTAAACTGAATCATACAATGTACGGCCTTTTCTTTTCTGGTTTCTTTTACTTAGCAATATTTTAAAGGTTCATCTCTTTTTAAATTTTTATGTAGAAGAACTGGGGTGTAGGCCAGAGATGTGGGAGTGGGGCTGGTGAGAGTGAAAATAGGTGGATCCACTGAAATCTACTGCTAAGGGGAAGCAGAGGGATAAGGGGAAGCAGAGGGATGAGATAGGAGAGTCTGCTGTGCCATGTGGGTCAGCTCCCCATGATTGAACTCAGGCCTTCAGTAGCTGCTAGCACTGAAACTTAACCCTTAGGCCACCAGGAAGGTCCCATCTTTTTTGTACCATGTTTCAGTGGTTCCTTTCTTATGGCTAAATCATAATCCATTGTATGGATCTACCACATCTCCATATCATCAGTTCATGGCTGAAGTTGTTTCTATTTTTTGGCTGTTATGAATAATGCTGCTATGAATATTCATAAGTTTTCATTAAAACATGTTTTAAATTCCCTTAGCTATATAACTAATGTATTTCTTTTGATTTTTTTTTTTTTTTTTGTATTAAGGGAAAGCTACCCAATAACTTACTTAGGGTAAAGGAAGTAAGAAAGGGAGAGTACCTTCTCTTTGCAAGGTGTTCAGTGAATATTGATGAGTAGCATATTTTTTCCTATTCTTTTTAGAAAAGACTTTTGGTTCAGACGGGATAGCTTTCCTCTAGAACTCTGTTAGAGGAAAATCCTGATTTATGTTGTGTACCATTCAGTTACCTTTCTGAGAGAAGCATGCATTTTTTTCTGTGAATTTGGATTATAAGATCTGTTCCTGGTCTTATGGAATCGCTGAGTGATTGGCTCGTGTTTAACATCATGCATTCAGAGGGATAGTGGGCAGGATTCCCATTCTGTAATCTATTTGGCTTCAGTGATATTGGAGAGGTTTTATTGTTACTAACCACATTTCCCCTGAGGTCTGAACTATAATAGAGTGGCATTAAATATTAGTGTTGTCTTTCTGGGTTTCATACACCAAACCCTGGAGGCTTATTTTGCAGCTGTTGCACTTTTGTTTTCATACTCATTTTCAGGAAGTTGGCAGATGTTTTTCTTCTTTTGCTAGCTTGGGGTAACCTGGTCAAATTCATTGAAACCTGATGTTTCTCAGACTTATTGAAAGCAAGGAGCATTCTTTGCAGCTTATTTTTAATTGACTTTGGGATTCCCTGGAGGCTGTGGAAAATAGATAAATTATATATTAACCACCATCATACTTTATCCCAAGGAACTTCTCTGTAAGCATGTACTTTAAAAGGGTTTGTGTAATAGAATATTGAGCTAGCACTAAGAATATTTTAATTTTACTTCTCTAAAAGATTTACTATATTACTAGACAAATAGCTTGTATCTTTTAAAAACAGATAATATTGACTTACTCCAGCTTACAGTAATGTTGTGAATGGGCCATGAGTTCTGTTAATCAAAGTACCTTTATTATTTTTTGGAAGACAGGCAATTTGGAAGATAAGTATATTATGAAAATTCTTGTCACTGATTTTTTCTTTATTTTAATAATGTTGGTGAATCTGCTGTCATTAAAATAGTACTTGTCAAGTATATTTGTATATTTGTTCTGTTTGCCTATGTATTTACCATTTCTGGTGCTCTTTTTGTTTTGGGTAGTTATAGATTTCTACCTGGTACATTTTCTTTCTGAGTGAAGGACTTCTTTTAATATTTCTTGTGTTGCAGGTTTGCTGGTGGTGAATTATTCTAGCTTTTGTATATCTGAAGAAGTCTTTACTTACTCTGACTTATAGAAACTTTTCACTGTCTGTGGAATGCTAAGTTGGCTGTCTTTATCTTTCAGTACTTTAAAGATGTTGCTTTACTGTCTTCAGACCTCTGTTGTTTCCAGCAGTGTCTTATCTCTGCACATGTATGTTTTCTTCTGGCTCCCTTTTTTATTTCAGTTAAAAAATTTTGTACAACCCATAACACTACCATCCTGACATCTGTAGGTGTATAATTCAGTGGTATTCACTACGTTCACACCATTACGCAACCCATCACCAGAACTCTTTCATCTTCCAGTTCTACATTGGAATTCCAAGTTGGAAGCTATTAAACAGTAACTTCTCATTCTTCGCTTCTCCCAGCCCCTGGTAACCACGCTTCTACTTTCTGTCTCTATGATTTTGACTACTTTAGGTACTTCTTATAAATGGAATTATATACGTATACAGTGTGTCTTTTTATGACCACTTATTTCACATAACATAACGTCTGTCCTCAGGGTTCTTCTATAATGTAGCTTTATGTCAAAATTTCCCTGTTTTTAAGGCTAACACACACACACACACACACACACACCATATCTTGTTTATGTATTCATCACTTGATGGACATTTGGGTTGCTTTCACATTTTAGCTGTTGTGAATAGTGCTGCTATGAATGTAGGTATATTAATATCTCTGAAATCTTTTCATTTCTTATAAGTATATACTGGAATTGCTATTTCATATGGTAATTTTTGTTTAAATTCTGAGAAACTGCCATACTTTTCCCCATAGCTACTGCACTGTTTTGCATTTCCACCAACCCAAAAAGGTTCTGTTTTTTTCTACATTCTTGCCAAAATTTGTTTTTCTTTAATTTTTTTTTTATAGAAGTCATCCTAATGCATTGAGAATGGTATCTCATTGTGGCTCATATTTTCATTTCTGTAATAGTGGTGTTGATTGTCTTTCAGGTGCTAATTGACCATTTATATACCCATCTTTGGACAAATGTATACTCAAATCCTTTACTCCATCTTTGGGCAAATGTATATTCAAATCCTTTACTCCTTTTTTAATTGAGTTGTTCTTTTTTTTGTGGTTGTAGAGTTATAGGCATTTTTTCTATATTGTGGATATTAATTACTTACTAGATACATGACTTGAAAATATTTTTTCTCATTCTTCTGGTTGCTTTTGACTTTTTCTCCAGTTTTAAGCAATTTGATTTTAATAATTCCTTTGGGGAATTTTAAGGTTTTTTTTTTTTAAGATTTATTTATTCAAAGTTGGATCACTGGCCAGGGAGGTGACCCAGATGGTGCAGTAGACCTTGCCTGGCTTACCCACTGCTCCCCTGAGCAGTGTACTTGTCAATCTGCCTGTTCTGTGCCCCACTCTGTCTCTGGTGAGCCCTTTTACCCCCACACCCTAGCCTGTACCCCAGCTCTGTATGTATAAGTAAATAAATCTTTAAAAAAAGAAAAAAGAAAAAAAAAAGATTTATTTATTCATACAGAACTGGGGTACAGGCCAGAGATGTGGAGAGTGGGAAGATTCACCAGGGACAGAGTGGGGAGCAGAACAGGCAGATTGACGAAGTACACTGCTGAGGGGAGAGTGGGCTGGTCAGGAGAGGTCTGCCATGCCATGTGGATCTCCTCCGGGGCAGGCAGGGATCGAACTCATGTGGAAGTGGCTTAAGCTTCTTAGTGCAGTGCTTTAACTCGCTGCACCACCAGGGAGGGCCCCAGTTTTAAGGTTTTTGATATTTCTTGTGCTTGATGTCTGTTGAGCTTCTTGTGTCTGTGGCTTTTCATTAAAATTGGAAACTTTTTCATTAACATTTTTTCATATTCCTCCCACCCCTTGAGGCCTCCTGAGGTTGTTGCAACTCACTGATGCTCTGCCTTGTATTCTGGGTTTCTTTTTATAGAGTTTCTATCATTAAGTCTTTGTATTTAATGCTTTTTTTTCTCCTATATTATCTTGTCTGTTGTTAATTCCATGCAGTGCATTTTATGTCAGTCTACTATATATTCTGTAATTTGTGGTTGGACAGAATATAGTGATGTGACAGGTGTCAGGATAATGCTGCTTTCGTTTGCTGCCAAGATTACTAGTTTTTTAAAAGAAGATTTATTTATGCATATAAGAACTGCAGCGTAGGCCAGAGGTGTGGGGTGTGAGAGAATTCACCAGAGACAGAGCGGGGAGCAGAACAGGTGGATCTACTGAAATACATAAAGGGGAACAGGCTGTGAGCCCAGAGAGGTCTGCTGTCCTCTCTGTGGGTCAGCTTCCTGGCTGAACTCAGGCCTCTGCAGTTATCATACTAAGACTTAACTCCTAGGCCACCAGGGAGGCCCTAAGCCCTAATTCTGTAAGGTATCTAACATGTGCACAGAGCCAAATTACCTTGATGGCTCTTCGTTTCCATATTTATTTTTTTCCAGACCTACATACATTTTTTTGCTTGATCATTTTATGTTTTGTTGATGTAGACACCTGCATTAGTATTTGTGTAAATACTTGTTTTATACTTGTATGTAGCCTGTTTACCAGACTACCTAATATTATTTGTTTTTGGTTGTGTTATGTATCTATCATCTTGCTATGAAAAACACAAAGTAGATTTTTGTATTTGTTTCCAATACCAGTTACTTCTTATTGGTTCTGTGATTAGAACTTGTATTCCTGTTGAAGTAAACCTGATTGCTGCTGTCATCACTAACTCTGGGGCCTGCTGACCTAGGTCATTCGTATTATCTCTACGTTACCTTTTTTTTTTTTAAAGTTTTATTTATTTATGCATACAGAATTGGGGTACAAGCCAGAGGTGCAGGGGCGGTGAGAGTGTTCACCAGAGACAGAGTGGGGAGCAGAGCAGGCAGATTGATGAAGTACACTGCTGAGAGGAGCAGTGGGCAGATCAGGAGAGGTCTGCCATGCCATGTGGATCAGCTCTGGGACTGGGGATCAAACTCGCACTGAAGCAGCTGTGGTTAGCTTGCATTGCTACATCCTAACCTGTTACACCACCTGGGAGGGGGCCCCCATGTTACCTTTTAATGTTCACCAATGTCAACTTGAAAAAATTGCAAAGTAACAACTGGTAATTATTAGCCAATCTTTTGCATTCAGTGGCATTTCTCCTTTTCTTGTTCTCTGTTCTAGCAGGTATTGCTCTCTGGAGAAGACATACCAACAGTTAGCACTGTCTTCAGATGCTGACACTTGGTGAACAGCTGCTCCTGGTCCACAAGATTTAGAAGACACAGTGTCCTTCCAGACTGGGTCTTTTGGTATGGATCTTCTATTTCTATGTCTTTTAAAGAGAACTTTTTGGGGAACATTTTGGATTACAACTGTTCATCTTCATCTATGCAAAGAAATGAAAGCTATTGTGCTGGGATTTTGAGGAGGTATGTCTTTTTCCTTCTATTGAAAAACTGCATCACATAGGCACTCAAAATGTATAAAATAATGATATAATGATTGTTTCCTTGATAGAACTCATTTCTTTATCATTCACTGGTTCCATCTTCCATCCTCTTTCTTGTCTAGCAGTTGTCATAGATCAGTAAGAACTTTTATAGAAATTGATTTACCAAGATGTATAAGTTGAAGGGATACATCTTTGTGTTTATAAGCTTCCCTCACCCATCACAAAAGCTCTAGTGCAGTTCCCAGTATAAAGTCGTCGTTCTCCATCCTTTGCCTTCCTTTTCCTCTCCCTACTCCCCTCCGTCCTCTAAGCACTGTTTTTCTCTGAGTCTGAGTTGTTTATGTTGTGATCTGTTAGTTTGTTTGCTTTGATTATTTATATTCCATGTATAAGAGAAACCGCTGGTGTGTTATTTGCATTTTTTGAATTTGTAAAGAACCTCCATACCATTTGCCTAGGGGCTACACCAATTTATATTCAAAATTCAAATCTACAGTGGCTGGGAGATCCCTTTTTGCCACTCCCTTGCCAACACATACTGTTTCATCTTTTTGATAGGTGCTATTCTCACAGGTTTGGTGTGATATCTCATTGTGCGTTTCCCTAATAATAAGTGAATTAGAGCATTTTTTTTCCTGTGCCTGTTAGGTATCTATTTATAGTCTTTTTTTTTTACATTAAAAAAATAAAGGTTTATTAGGAAAAGGAGAAAGCAAAAGAGAGGCACCTGCACAGTCAGAGGTGGGCAGGAGAGCTGCCTCTTGCCAGTGCAGAGATTGCACACATGGTGTCTGTGCATATTCATTGGAAGGTAGAGTAAAACTTCTGTACAGTTTTTGATAGGGTTGTTTACTTTTTTTGTTGAGTTGTATTAGTTCTGTATACATCCTAAATATTAAGGCTATGACAGGTATATGATGTACAAATATCTTCTCAGTCAGTAAATTTTCTCTTGGGGGTAATTTTTTTGCTGTACAGAAGTTTTGTAGTTTCACACAGCCCATTTACTTATTTTTGCTTTTGTTTTCCTTGCCATTGGAATTTCCTTGCCAATGGTAAGGATGGTGCTTATCTTTCAATGTCTTAGAAGTATATGTGCATATAAATCACCTGCTGTTGTTGTTAGGATTCATTCAGTCCCCTAGACATGAATTTGTATGTCTGAAGTAGAATCCATTTCTTTCTTTTTTTTAAAAAAAGATATACTTATTTAGGGGTATAGGCCAGAGGTGTGTGTGTTGGGAATGGTCGTGAGAGGATTCACCAGAGAGACTGTGAAGCAGAACAGGCAGATCTACTGAAATACACTGCTAAAGGGAGCAGCGGGGTGGGTCAAGGAGAGGCGTCCTGAGCCCTGTGGGGTAGCTCTCTGGTCAGGGTCTAATTGCAGTGGCTGCTGATAGCTTTGTAGTGCTGACACCTAACCCCTTGTGCCACAGGAAGGCTCCCTGGAACCCATTTCTAATAAGTTCTCAGGTGATACTGGTAAGTTGATTCTTTGTAGTGTTACAGGGCAGGGAGCAGGGAGTGGGTACCACTGAACCCCCGAACCTGCCTGCTCTAAAAAGGTTCTACCATCCACTGCATCAAGACAAAACATATAAGACCTTTAATGGAAAGGAACTTGAATACAATTAGTGTCAATACAGAAAAGACAAAAAATATAGTTTCTAAATCAAACACCCAAAGTTACCCATCCATTCATGAGTAAAAGTCTAATCAAAAGGGATTGACCCAAAGCCGAAGCAAGGCCTGAAAGCCTGCCACAAGTCTAAAGTACCTTCTGGTGAGACCCGTAAAAAAGAGGCAGGTAAGTCTGGGAGGAAAATCAAAATCAAAATAAATGCTGCCATTGTTAACCTCCCCACGGGTCTCTCACCCAAGTCTGTTTCAACCAGTCCAGGGCCAAGAAACAAGAGAAAGTTTCTTCACTGTCTGTCTGCTCCATGTGCCTCACTCAGGCCTCCTTCTGGCTCCATCCTGCTTCCTTTCTCTTCAGTCTCCTCTCCAGATTCTTCCCCTCACTGCTCAGCTCCACCCTCCTTTTGGGTGGGCAGGGAACCTGGAACCTCCCCTTTTTCTGGGGGTCACCCTGTTACAATGAAATTTCTGCTTTTACACTGAATGAAATGGGAAGTCTTTGGAGAGTTTTGCACAGTTGATATAACATCAACTGTTATATTATTAATGTTTTGATATTTTCACTCTGGTTGCTGTGTTTGTAATAGACTGATGTGGGTTGGGCAAGGACAAAAGAAGGAATACCAGTTAGGAAACTATTATTGGAGTAAAATGAAAGAAGGTGGCAGTTTGTACTTGGGTATAGCAGTGAATGTGGTAACACATGACTGATCCTGAGTATACTTCTCGAATAGAGTCAGCTGATTTTTGTGGGTAGATTGAAGCATGCTGTGAATGAAAGGAAGGAGTCAGTGATCACACAAAGGTTTTTGTTCTTCAATTCCTAGAGGGATGCCATTGCCATTAACTTAGATGGGGAATACTGATAGAGGAATAAGTTTGGCAGGGTGAAAGAAGAGTCCAGGTTTGGACATAACATTATAGACAACTACTAGCCTTAGTAGAGATGTTGAGTTGGTAGTTGAGTTTATGAATCTGGAATTCAGGAGAGAGGATCTGTTAGAGGTAACAGACTGTACTTAAAGCCATGGATCTGGATAAGATTGAGAGATAGAAGGAAGAAATTGTTAAAGAACTGTTAATTTGGATAAGATTGAGAGATAGAAGGAAGAAATTGTTAAAGAACTGTTAATTTGGAGTAGAAACAGTTTGAGAAACCGTTGGCTGTCAGCTACTCTTCTTCCTTGGCTGTAGGGGACTGCAAGCCTCTCTGGATACAGATATTTTGGACTGTCACATGTATATATTTTTGTAAGAACCTTCTTAGCCTCCTATTTATTCTTAAGTGGAAGCATTCAGTCTTTGTAGCTTCCCCAGCCAGATGGACTTGGGCAAATCACCTGAGAGGACAGGTTATGGTTAAATTCGACTTAGTTTTGGCATTTACAGAAGACCTCTTTTCCTTCATTTGTTTATGAAAGTGCTTAGTAGGTGCTTTAATTTGTGTTTGGCTCTGTCACAGGTGCTAAAGGTTCAGTGATAACTTTCTGCCCAATGGAGCTTATGTTCTACAGGAAATGAAATAGCAAAATGGGACCAAGACTTGTTAGTGATCTTATGCTGGTTTTCTTAATTCATGTGGGCTTATGAAAGAACACAAAGAGGGCTTTTGTGAGCTAAACTCTTTTCTGATAATTAAGACAATGCTCAAATATTATGGAGAATATAGAAAATAAAACAATTTTTAACAGCCTTGATTGTGAAGAGATTAAGATATGTGAAGTTTTTACTTTTTAAATTCTTAGATTCCATAAATGGTATTATATGGGATTGATACCATTGCAATTCAAGTTGCAGATATTTGAGCATTGATACAATCCTTTTTGGAATTTTTAGAAATACCTACTTTGATCTACTTTAAAGTTATCTTTTGTATAAGTCTAAAAACAAATATATATTTTTTAAAGATATATTTATTTATTTGTACAGAACTGGGGTACAAGCCAGAGATGCGGAGGGTGAGAGGATTCACCAGCGACAGAGTGGGAAGCAAAACAGACAGATCGATGAAGTACACTGTTGAGTGGAGCAGTGGTTGAGACAGGAGAGGTCTGCCTCGCCATGTGGTCACCTCTGGAGCAGGCGAGGCAGGCGGGAATCGAACTCATGCAGAAGTGGCTTAAGCTTCTTTGTGCCGTGCTTTAACCCACTGCGCCACCAGGGAGGGCCCAAAACAAATATT